TGAAAAACTGAGGCAGGAGGATCAAGAGTTGGAGGCCATGGTGAGTCAAGACCACTCAGTAGGCAAGGGCACCTCTGCCAAGCCTGATCACCAGAGTTGGAGAGAACCAACTCCTGCACATTGTCTCTGATCTCAACAGGCATATCAGAGCACACAGTCACCCTACCCCAACATGCACACAAAGGTAAAGAAGGAAAACGTAATCTCAACAAAAGAGCTAGAGGTCAGCCCAAGCAACACAGGGAGAACCTGTCTTTAAAAAAACAAAACACATCCAACAAAAGCTATACAATTATAAAGTAGTCAGAACATTGCAATAAAGATGCTTGTAGAGCCTTGAAAATGATTGGTATTTATTTATTTATTTATTTATTTATTTATTTATTTATTTATTGGTAGTTATTAAGTTCACAGGTTTTTGAGCTAAGGCCTGGGTTCAAATTTTGTTACACTACATACCTGACAAGGATAAAGTCATTCTGTTACTGTAAGCTTTTTTCCATCTGTGAAAGGGGATAATTGATTATACTGATTATACAAGGCTTTTGTGAGGGATGAGTGAGGGTATGCATTTGATATTTGAAATTAGCTGCCAGCATTATTACTAATAGGACCAGCCTGCTCCTTTGGTTTAAGGTTGATAGCCTGCCAATGTGTTTGTTATAGGTGTAATGTGTGTGTCTTACCTAAGTGTCATCCCAGTGGGGGAGATAGAACCAGGAGATAGGCTTTGTTTTCTCACGTGTTTTTCAGATTTCTGTTTCTATCCTTCCACCCTTACACATTTTTTCATTCTTTGTTGAGCAATCTTTCAGTGCTTACTGTTTTCCAGTCATTTGCCATGTGCCTATGCCCTCAGAGTCCTTTCAATGTCATTCCCCTCCCCCACTTTGTGCAAATACAGTTTTAGAGATCCTGTGGTGATTACCTTGCCTAAGGTAGTGTCCCCAACTTTGAATGAGGCTTGAATCACAGCTGTGTTGCTGAACTCAGCAGGAACCTGCCTATGCAGTAAATTGTGTGAGTTTTCCTTAGTCTTAGTTTTTTAAATTATTAAATGGGAATAACACATTCTAACTTAGGAAGTCTGAGGCTTATAATTAAAACAGTGTTAATAAAGTACGCAAACTAGTGGTGGGTACTTATTTTGGTGCTCAGTACAGAGATGATCAACTTTTCTCCCAAGGGAGACTGGCAAAAGTGGTTTGAATCAAATATGATTGTTGGTTGAGAGGAGGGTGTTGTTTAACTTTTGCAAGATATTTAATCTTCTCCCTAACAAATTGTATAGGCAAATAAAAAGAAAACTTGCTATTTTGCTTTGTTTTTGCATGATGAGCTATTAACCCTGTAAAGAAGACTGGGACTATATAGTTCTGTGGTAAAATGGTTTTTATCACATGGAAGGCCTTGTGTTCAATCTCCAGCACTAAGAAAGAAAAAGGGTTCAATTTCTTGCTATCAGTGGCCTCTGCCTTTTTGTAGGCTAAAAAGTGAACTTTAAGTAGTGATTTTAATCCACATCTTTGATTTTTGGCATAGTTGTCAAAATTGATAAAATATACATCCCCGAAGAGCCCAGACAGTTAGGATATTGTAAACCGAAAGAAGAAAATTGGCTGTGGATATAGCTCCTTCCCAGAACACTTGCCTAGACATGGAAAGCCCTGGATTTCATCGCCAGCTCTGCAAATGCAAACAAATGAAAAGCATTTTGTGCTAGAAGAGACTGTGGGCATCTAATGAAATTCCTTCCTTTTCTGGACCAGGAAAGCATTCTGAGGACAGCAGTACCCTGAGAGTTGAGGCTTTTTAGTGTCTATACTCAAGTGCACTGTCTTAGGCTGATGTTCAGGTTTTGGTCATTGACTCAAAAACAATCAAGAGTTGTCACTTGACAAATATTCCATTTTAAAGTTTCTTTCTGGGAAATGGATCCTAGAAGCAAATCAGCAGTTATATGTGGTCCATTTTGTAGTCAGAAGACTGAAAAAAAGGACTTGGAAATCAAGTTCTTAATAAACTTAATTCTTTGATCTTTGAATAGGAAAACTGACATTGTTTATTCTGTTCTTGTGTGCTGGCCTTACTATTGAATCTCTACCCTTCTACCTATTTCCCATTGGTACAAGACAAGATTGTTAAAAAATTAAATGTTAAAAATAGAAAAGATCACTAAAGGAGAAAATTAAAAATGATAAACTTTGAATCACCATTGATAAGAAGCTAACTTGACAAAATATATGACTTTTGAACCCTTTGAATTACCAGAGCATGGAGGAAATAAATGTTATATGAATGTAGTTTATAGTAAGTCTAATTGCTAGTATGTTTGGGTTGTGGGCAAGAATACCTGTTTCAGTGGGGTTGAAAAAAAAATGGTGTTTATGCTACTGAGCCCTCAGACTTTGCATTTCATTATCAGCGATCTCTTGAGGCTCTCTTTCCTTCTAAAAGCATATAGAACCTGGGTATCTGTCTCAACACTCTGTACCTGAGTATCAATGCCAATTGATCCAAGTTTATATATTGGCATTTATTTGTGAACCTGTAATTAAATCACAATAAATTAAAAGAAAAAATATGGGTAAAAAAGGGTTGAGATGATTTTAATCCAAAAATTACTGAAATTTACATTTTTCATTTAGGAGTCTAGTTTGCTATACTTTTTCAGGTAAAGTCAGTAGTTATTAAATTTAGTATACCCAAGTCTGTGGTATACTTGGGACCCAGATAACCATGAAGTCTTTTACTAAGCTCTAGTGTCCCGTTAGCAAACACAAGCTTTTTTGACTTACTAAAAGTAACTTTTATAAACGAAGCCACACAGAACCACTGTATATTTTGCTTCTGTTTTCTCTTCATTTTGTGATTGGCAAAATGCAAATTCTGGAAATTCACAAGGCTTCAGTTCCATGAAAAAGAATAACCGAGTAAGTTGTTCTATCCCTATTGTTTATTTTGGCAAATGAAAATGAATAGCTGTAATGGGAAATGGGAAATATCTAAACAAACCTTCAGACAAGGAAGCAGAGAAGGAATATTTCACATGCTTAAAACTCACTCAGAAGCATTCACCCACATGTTGGTTTAGCAATTGCTTTGAGCACCTCTATCCTGTAGATGTGCTTGACAAATAACAATGCAGAAGGGTGGGTAGTACTCCTTAAACCAGTTCTTAACTCCCTAACAGCATGGACACAAAGAAAATATTTCAAAAAAGATAACACCAGCAAGCTTCTGCCATCTCAGGTCCTTCTGGGCAGTCCTGTGGGGGCAAAGTGATAGGACTGTGTAGTCTCACCATTACCCATTTGAGGTAAATGCCGTACTGGGGGCATTTAATCTAAAATAGGTCCTGCCCTTAGGACATTGTCAGAGGACATAGCAGGTAAATGCTTTGTACTGGCTGTGGCTTTGGTAGATGACCCAGGGACAGGCATAGTTCATAGTCTACTGAAAAAAAATTCAACTACTATGGATTGAGATAGTGTGACTTGATTTTGACTTCCAAACCTTGAGTTATACCTCAGATCCACTGCACTTCCAAAAGAAACTGAAGTAAGGGTTTTGATGTTATGTTGCACTTGAAGCCTTAAAAATAGACCAGTCTTCCCTTTTACACATTCTTTGTCTTAGAAAGTCTAATTCTGGCTGTATGTCCTACTTCTCTGGGGACCCAATTGAGAAAAGAAAGTTGAAGAGGGAAAAATCAGCAGGAAAAGGTGGGGAAATAATCAGTTCTGAACTGAGTGGCCCTCTAGAGTAGAATCAAATGTTAAAACACCCTCCCTGAGCCCATAACCCCATTCTCACCCCTGAATCTCTCATCCCAGAGGCAGACCTATAATACTCTCTCCTCTAATGTGGAATTAAACCCGGATGTAACTGCAACTGGACTCCTAAATCTGTAGAGTGTCAGAAAACCATGGGTTCAGTGAATGCTGCTGAGTGTCAAGATGTGGACAAGATAAGGAGGAGTGTCCCTATTTCAGGAAGCATAGTGCAAAGTGATACAGAAAAAGAGCACAGAGAGAAATGTCAGGTTGATCAGAAAATAATCTTGAGTGGAAGTCAAGAAAATAATCTTGAGTCCCATTAGCCTAGAAGTTAGATATCAAAATAAAGTGAGATCCCAGCAAGTAAAAATAAAAGTAAAAGCATGGCAGAGCAGTCTAAGGTGTTTAAGAGATGTTTGTTTGTTGTTTGTTTTAAACAAGTTGAAACTCTGAGTTAAAAAGTAATTAGGAGTTATGTGGGTTCTTAGCATTCTTAAGGGCCTGAGTTTATTACCAAGAACAAAACAACGACAGAAACTGAGTGAAAAGTCATTTAACTGCAGAGAAGGCTACAGAACCCTGCTTGTTAGGTTCCTGTGGAGTCCTCTGGAATGCTGAGTGTTTTTTGAGATAAGGTCTCACTGAATATGAGGCTCATTGACTCAACTGGCTCAATCTGAGACGGATTCAATTGGCTGGAATTGACCTTCAGGGATCTGCCAAACTGATAGAGAGTTATTGTAACAGTGTGGAAAGGTTTACCCTATTAGTTGTCTTAAGTCATAGAGAAGATTAGCTTTCTTTTACACTCATTGCTGTTCTTAATGTGAAGGCTGTTTTAATAGTTTGTACTTTATTAATTAATATGCTTTATTAAGTGATGTCTTCGTTGAATTCTTGTCAGAAATAAAAGTGATGTGGGATTCCCCTCTGTATGTTATGAATATGTTTTATCACCATTGGTTAATGAATAAAGCTGTTTCAGCCAGTGGCTTAAAAGCAGTCTCCAATGAGCTCTATGTACTTTTGTGGGTCTTGATGTTTTGTCTTTTTGTCTTGTGTCCTACTAAATGCAATTTATTTTCCTCTTGTGTAGGTAAATGCTGTGAGAAGGGAGGTTATTAGGAACTGAGCCTTACACATGCTAGTGCTCTGCTACTGTGTTATCTCCAAACCTTAAAATATTTCTTTAAAAATGGTCTGTGATTTTTGTGTTTACAGGATCGCCCCAGGACATTTGACATGCACTCTTTGGAGAGCTCACTCATTGACATAATGAGAGCCGAAAATGATTCCATTAAAGGTAAGCTGAAAAATGGAGCTATTCTATTTTAGTAAATAGTTAATAATGTATTATCTACTTATTCTGGTGAGCAATATCACTATTATAAAGTCATTGTGTCTAGTAAGTTGTATCAATTCTACTCATAAACTTCTTTTTGCTATAAAGTCAAATTATTTGATGGGCATCTGCGGTAGAACCCATCATGATACCAACTAAGAGCACTAAACAAGTTCTTATTACTAAGTGGGCAGTTAACTCAAAGATCATACATACACTGCACTGTGTCTCAGACAAAAGCCTTTTAAGAGCCCTGAGGTTCTTAAATGTGACAGTAGCTATATACTATGTTGTTGGTATGTTGGCAGTTTTTGGCCTAGTTTTACAATTTAAAAAATGCTTCATAGTTTCTGATGAAAATGTTTTATAGTTAATTTTTTCTATATATGGTGATTTTTAAAAAATCCTATTTTTGCTTGGCTTCTGATCTCAAGTCTGTCACTGACTAGATGTGTCACAATCTTGAACAAGGCACCCACTTTCACCAGATCTCTTTCTTTCTTCACCTCAATAAGAGACTCACAGTCACTTGGAGCCTTAAAAGTTAAATACAGATGCATGGACTATGGATTTGTCATGTTATTTTTAATGTCTCAGAGAATTGTCAGAGTAGGTGTTCTTGGGATTCCTTGTGAAAACTACTACACAAAAGGAACCCCTTTTTCCTTGTAAGAATCTCAGCTTACTAGGAACCAGGCTTCTTTGTTTTAAAGAAATTTAGAATGTTTAGTATATTAAGTAAATCCACCCAAATTTTAATACATTTGCTCATTTATGTATTTATTTGGTATTTATGAGGCCACCTTGTGTTGGAGTTAAAGCTTTGCACAGCAGTCCGAATAGCAAGGTAGCCTGTTGCAGTGCTGACTAACCTAGCCCAGTCTTCCCAGAGGTTAGCTTGTCCTACTATTGACACAGTAAGGCCTTTAAGAATAAACTCTCATTTCTTCACGACTATTTTGGCCTATTTTTTTTCTTTATTTTTGAAATATGATCATATTTACTCCTCTCCACTTTCCCTTCCAGCTGTTTCCATATCCCCCATGAGGACTCTTTGGGTGTCCTAGAGCTTTGTGAAATAATGTGTGGAAATGTGTATCCATCTAATGAGGTCACTTGAAAATAAGGGTATTTGAACTTGTTTAGGAATATTTTGAAGGTCCTTACTGAATACCTCAAGGGATTCTGGGCATAAGTTCCATATGGGAAGAGCTATGATCTTTCCGAATTTTTCAGAGTTTTCTATTTTTAAATATGGCTATAATTCAGCCTTTTCCACATTTCCTTTTCTTGTCATTAAAATGAAGAGAGGCTAAGGCCATTTTGAGCACCAGAAAATTGTACTTTTTCACAGTCACTCAAAAAGAATCTATGTCTATTTCCTATGTCCTATAAGAGATAACCAGTTTGGGGACATGGAATAAAGGGACATGAGGGTTTCTCTCTCATGAAAGAACTTACTTGTAACTTACTTGTGAATTTACAATTACTCCATAAGTTAATTAAGTAAAAGTTTGTAAAAGACTTTTTTTTTACTAGATTCTTACAGCAGTTTTTTTTGTTTTGTTTTGTTTTTGTTTTTTTTTTTGTGTTGTTTTGTTTTTTGAGAACCTCTCTTGTACTAGATCAGTGGTTCTCAACCTGTGGGTTGTGACCCCTTTGGGGGTCAAACAACCCTTTCACAGGAATTACCCAAGATCATCAGAAAGCATTACATTACATTACAATTCATAACAGTAGCAAAATTACGGCTATGAAGTAGCCATGAAAATAATTTTCTGGTTGGGAGTCACCACAACATGAGGGATGTATTAAAGGGTTGCAGCATTAGGAGGGCTGAGAACCACTGCACTAGATGCAGGGAAATGTGGGGAGAACAGCAATAGATACAATTTGTTATGTTCCATTTCTAGGAAGCAAGCCTCTGACTAGTACTTAAACATAAAGAGTTTTTCATACATTGTATAATTAACTGAAGGATTTATCAGTTTTAGTCAACATATTTAAAGTTAATTTTTCTTTTTTTGTTTGATAAGGTATTATTGCTTAAATTCCACTTTTATTTCATATTCCATATAAAATTTATTCTCACTGATATTTACTTATGTCTCTTCAGATGGTTCTGTATGGAAAATCAAAAGTTAAGTGACAGAAAAAAGTTATGTGTAGATGGTCTAATCTGGGAGCATAAGGAATTTATGGAATCATGATTTGTAAGAGGCAGCATGGCAGAATGAAAAGAACATTTAAACTCTAGATTTAAACTGTCCTCACAGCTGTGCTGATGTTTGTGAGATTTAAATGGCAGCATGTGTCTGTCAAAGTCAACATATTGCCTGACTCTAGAAGACACTCGAGAATTGATGTGGCTCTTACTGGAATCTGCTAAGTGTTTCATCATGTTCATTACGTGAGGAAGCTTGCTTCAGTTTAAGTTTCAGTAGTAAATAAACTTCACATTTTTTTCTTCAAAAAATCAAGGAGGAATCTATAGATGAAGGCATACCCTAAAATGCCAGTTTATAATTCTGCTTGGCTCCAAAAAGTTCTGAACATTGTGTCAGTGTAGTCTTCACCAGTAGAACGGCAACTCTGTCCAGGGCGGTACTTCATCTCCTGTGAACTCTTCTCTGAGCTGGAGAGTTTCACACTGCTGTGCTTGATTTGAATAGTAAGTCTGTCTTCAGATGTTGTTTAAAAGTGATCATTACCTCTTAACGCCTTGAAAACAATTCACTGTCCTCTAAATCAGGCACTAAGTCCTCTGGCTAACCCATGTGTAAGTCATCCACCTAGTGCTCCTTCCTCAGAAACAGAGTGCAGAAAATCATCGTTTGTTCTGTGAGAGCATCGTACCTCTTAGAAAATGTAAATTTTAACTTGAGATTAGTGCTAAGATTTAATCATACAAAGGCCATTTTTTTATTTGGGCTAATTTTGTAATAAAGTAATTTCATAGAATATGAATAATTTCATTTATTTTATCTCTTATCTGTGGTTCCTCATAGATGTGTCTGTGTTTAAATCATAAAGCCTAAAATTAACTTTGGAATGATAACATGAGTCATTGTTGCAGCATATATTAGTTTAAATGAGAAAAAAATATAAAGGAGAATTTGTATTTTCCATTTGGGAAAATATTGTCTTTATACAGGGGCTTAAATTTTTTATTTTTCTATCAACAAATAAGATACTTGTTATATCTAGGGGCCTTCAAAGATAGGTTTTGAATTTTCTTATGAATGTGTTGTTGATTCTAGCTGATTTCTTTAAACTTTTAACAGATGTTCAAGAGGAGGACGTAACCTTCATTTGATCATGCATATCAGAGCTTTTGTGATTCAAAATAATTTTTTAAATACTGTTTTAAAAGAATTTTTAAGTTGCTGTCATTTGCTCCATGGTAGGGGCTCAGCTGTGTGGGGGGAAAAAAAGGGACCTCCCTGTTCTTTATCTTTGTGTCATCGCTGAGGTCAGCTGGCAAGTCCTTAGGTTATTTTTATCCTGGAAACTGTGTATTGCCTTCTCCAGAACCAGTGCCAGTGACAATCCACAGAAGCTTGTCCCCAGAGACCAATTTTGTTTTCTTTCCTCCACACCCAGACTCATATGCCAAGTGCCTGAGTCTTTGAGTTTTGATCTCCCCACGTGGCACCTTGAGCATGGTCATAATGCTGTTAGATAATCAGAACCGAGCAATGCTCACCTGTTTATATGTTCTGGTGATTGTTTGGGGGAATACTAATGTTCACTTTTTTTTTCTTGCACATGACATTGGCATTTATTATTTAGAAATGGAGCAGCAGATTGAAGCCAAACTTTAGCACAGCTGTTTTCAGCCTTCTGAAGCACAGGTTGGACACATGAAGTAGTCATGAAATGTGTTCTCATATGTATAGTAGGAAGGACCTCTGACAATCAGGGAATTCCCCCCACCCCAATGTGTGCAAGGAATTAAGGAAAGTAGGAATAAAGTAGGAAGTAGTTTATGGAATGGAGTCAGATGTTTTGGCTAGAGACAAAATTAGTACTTAAAACGTGTAGAACAATTCCATTTCATGTTAGTGGTTGAATATTTTAAATCTGATATATAAAATCAATTCAATATCCAGTATGCTCCATCTCACTAGAAAGTCAAATTGACAGCAAGATTACTGCAGGAGCAAATGCAGTCCATATGTCATTGCATCACTGCAGGTGTTCTTGAGATAGTTAACTAAACTATGAGTCAATATCATATTTTACCTTTGAATGTAATGAAAATGGAGTCCTTTGCATTGTTTTAGAGTAAATCTTGCTTTCAATTTTTGGAAGGAATGGGACTTGACATACTTACCAACAATGATTCCTGTGTGTCAGGCATGAAATCTAAATTTCATGTAAGCAATACTAAATCTACATGTAAGCAATAATAATTGTTTGTAGTACCTGTTTACATATCCCTTCATGCCTAAGGAGCCTGTTAGATATACATGTGATGGGCCCTTAGTATACTGTTAAACATGTTTCTGCCTCACTTACTTTTTATACATTTCATCTCATAAGGATTTATTTTAAGAACTGTGGATTTAGTATAGGAGTCTTCTACATTTAATTCCTGATTGCTAATGGTGTTGTGACCTTCTACTTTAAACATTTTTGATGTTTTTCTCCTTCTTTATATATAAAATTTCAGGGTCTCTCCCCTACTGATTTCATCACTGCACTTAAAAAAAATGTGTGGGTAAGGGGTGATTTCATTTGTGCCTCTTTGTTGCTGAGGAAAAGAATTTATAATGATCTCTTTAGAAGACAATCATGAAATTCAGTTGAAATTTAGTGCACAAAACTTGCTTCATTAATTTCATAAGAGGTTTTTATGTCTTTATGAAAGAGTGATGGTTAGGATAATTGTGTAAATTCTTTATCTTTGTCATTGAGAGGAAATAAATTTAGTGCTACCTTTGGGAAAAGATTGAATA